AAGGCGGAAACTGATTGGTGGTTGGTAGATAATAGAAATTAGCACATAAACTGTCCAAATGAGACTTCAGATGTTGCTACCAGTTTGCGAACTCAACTGTTTACCCACTGAGGTAAGCTGATGACATGATCAACTTATTTAAGTAATAATATGAATCCATTTTAAATTCTAAACTATAACACTGTAAATAGAGCGATAAAACGATTATCCCTTATAGCCAGTAATTAGCTATTAACATTTAACTTAACAGTTATAATATCAGCCTTCAGTTTCTTTTATTGAGTAATCAAAGGTAATGATCATTAGTTATTGCGAAAAAGAGCCCACTATTTGTGCGAAAAGCGGAACTAACGCGGTATTTTCGCTCTAGTAAATCGGGAGTAGGATATTGTCTCAACTCGAACAGGAAGTACTGATTGGAGCTGTTATTATGCTAAGGAAACCGATACAAAAAAGACAATGAGTGATAATTTACGAGGCTTCACAAAGGGCGACAATCTTGCAAGTTATTGATCTTGTCAATGCTAGATTTCCACACTTTCTGTAATAAAACACTAGAGAATAGGTCTAAAAAGATGTTACAGGTCGAATATCAATGAAGAAACTGACCAAGAAAACGACGACNAGAAAACGGAGTAAAAAGGTGAGTATAGACTAAAGCAGTGGTTCCCAAAGTTGACTGGGCTACGACTCATCTAATACAAGTTCCCAAACTCGGGACCCATCTATAGGAAATTTCGCTTGCTGCCCAGTGGTTGGATCGGTAGGGTGGTGTGTCGTTCTACAGCAGGGCCCACTCAATGTTCGCTCGCGACCCACTACTGGGTGTCTGGGTCTAAAAAGATGTTACAGATCGAATATCAATGAAGAAACTGACCAAGGAAAGCCAATTTACTAGATCACTAGATTACTAGATCATAGAACAACGAGCCACTCTACCTCCTGTAACCCCTTTCACGAACCAAACACAAAACTTTTTGTATCTGTATTGTACCATTCATTCGTAAGAACGTTACCTTACATAGAAGTAATAGACTAGAGTGTAGTCTAACTCACCTTAATCCGATCACAACATGCAACAGGAATCTATGGCATGCCTCGTTGAAACTAGAAAGTATGACGCGATTTCAACATCAAGCGATGATTTTAATAGCGATTCCTCCAATTTGCGTATAAACAGTACAGTCAGCGTCAAATAGTTTGTGACACCTAAAGTATCCAAAAAGTTCGCAACACGTCTTTGTGCTGTTAACTTTATGGTCACTTTAGAAGTCACGAAATATTTGACGCTAACTGTACCTAATAATAAATGACATACAGGATGCTCGTCACACAGGAACATACAAAATATCCATTAGGCAAATGACCAAATGTGAAAATTAAAATGAATTCATTTACACTAACTTCATTCATGGTTAAAATGCTCGTGAGTGCATCAAGCAATACCTACGCTACGAGCAAGTTTATCGGTGCTATGGAAATGGGTCAGAGAGAGTAATGCCATTAAACGATGCATCCGTGCACACAATGCGTAGGTTACTACAATGTGGGCGCCATTCGGATCGAGAGCAATTTGTAAGGAATATGAACTATCGAAATCGATCAACAAGAATCAAAACTGTGAACTTTATCCATTAATAGAATAACATAGAAACTAATGCCCGTTTTCACCATCAATCCCTAATTTTTAAGTGGCAACACATAAAAGGAATTTTATTTTAATAGGGGTCACTTAAAAATTAGGGATTGATGGTGAAAACGGGCATAAGTCTTCTTCTTCTTGACGTGTCGCCAACAAACCTACAGTGTCAGCCCAAAACTCTGCTACAAGAGTGAACTAACTATTAAACTAAATAGTAAGAAGAAACTAAAAATAAAATACAAACTCTTTCTACGAGTTCGAGACGATGACAATAAGTATGAAAGAAAGTTTTCTTTCAATGAACACGAATAACAGTCAATTAGGAAATAGTAAAGTATGAATTAAGTTAAAATCAACACTCCATCGATACTGTAATTGGCTCTAGCCTAGTACTAATTGAAAATCGATCAATCAATGCTATTTTAAGCTTCGCTTTATAAAACAAACAACGAATAAATAAATAATTTTATAAAAGCATTAAAAGCAATTCGTCAAAGTACGTTATATGAAGCTCCGATAATGCATGCCGTTCACGTTACAACGATAAACCGCAATACCCTGATGCGTAAAAACCACATTTTATACATAACTGGTGAAATGGGAGATGGAAGGCTTGTATAAAGCCCACGATAAGTGGTATGAAAATTTAAACACATTTACTATGTAACAGTAAGAAACTAACGTATACAAAAGCAGATTATGTACAGTATTTATTAAGGCATATGGAATAACGCGTCTCAATAAAAGGACAATAATTATTTTCTGAGACAGAAAATATCACGCGGGCGAAGTCACTGACAGAAGCTGGTACAGGTAATGAGTATGCTACATGGCTACGTCCCTTAGGATCAGTTGCCCAATAACAGCCAACAGTACTGTTTGAGTTTTATAGTTGGTCGAGCTGTAAATCATGTCTACATAAGATTTAGGAACATGGTCCCTGCACCAATGAACATAGCTAACCTTCTTCAGGCGGTCATCGTCGGTGACCAGCAAGCCAGCAACATAGTAGCTGCTCAAGATTAAGCCTAGGCGCAGACCACTGATTTTTAGTTGGCCGATAGTTGGGTCCGATTCTAATTTGAAGAATCGGCTGATACCAAATCGGTGTAATGTGCTTTCATACATCTCCATACTGATTAACAGCGCGCCCCAACTATCGGTCCACTAAAAGTCGGTGGTCTGCGCCTAGGCTTAGGAATATAGTCCCTACACCAATGACAATAGAGTTCACCTTTTCCACACGGTCATCGCCGGTGACCATCACAACCTAGCTACATAAGATTTAGGAATACAGGGTGTTAGGTAAATGGGTATATGAGCCGACACTAGCCCATGTTAACATGGGCATATAAATGGTATGGTGAAGTCAGAAATTTGATATCGTCATTTTNAGAGTAATGCCATTAAACGATGCATCCGTGCACACAATGCGTAGGTTACTACAATGTGGGCGCCATTCGGATCGAGAGCAATTTGTAAGGAATATGAAGTATCGATCAACAAGAATCAAAACTGTGAAGGATTATCCATTAATAGAATAACATAGAAACTAATGCACATTTTCACCATCAATCCCTAATTTTTAAGTGGCAACACATAAAAGGAATTTTATTTTCATAGGGGTCACTTAAAAATTAGGGATTGATGGTAAAAACGGGCATAAGTCTTCTTCTTCTTGACGTGTCGCCAACAAACCTACAGTGTCAGCCCAAAACTCTGCTACAAGAGTGAAGTAACTATTAAACTAAATAGTAAGAAGAAACTAAAAATAAAATACAAACTCTTTCTACGAGTTCGAGACGACGACGACAATAAGTAAGAAAGAAAGTTTTCTTTCAATGAACACGAATAACAGTCAATTAGGAAATAGTAAAGTATGAATTAAGTTAAAATCAACACTCCATCGATACTGTAATTGGCTCTAGCCTAGTACTAATTGAAAATCGATCAATCAATGCTACTTTAAGCTTCGCTTTATAAAACAAACCACGAATAAATAAATAATTTTATAAAAGCATTAAAAGCAATTCGTTAAAGTACGTTATATGAAGCTCCGATAATGCATGCCGTTCACGTTACAACGATAAACCGCAATACCCTGATGCGTAAAAACCACATTTTATACATAACTGGTGAAATGGGAGATGGAGGCTTGTATAAAGTTCACGATAAGTGGTATGAAAATTTAAACATAAATTATGTAGTGTTCATATTACGCGCACATTACAAGTTCATAAAAAAGTACGTACAGTATTTACGCCATAATGGCGTCATATGAAAGGACTATAATGACTCTCTGTGACAGAAAATATCACGCGGGCGAAGTCACGGATAGAAGCTAGTTCAGGTAATGAGTATGCTACATGGCTATGTCCCATAGGTACAGTTGCCCAATAGAAATTGTACCAACACCACTGTATGCGTTTTATAGTTGGTCGAGCTGTAAATCATGTCTACACAAGATTTAGGAACATAGTCCCTGCACCAATGGAGATAGAGCTCACCTTCCCCAGTTGGTCATCGTCGGTGACCAGCAAGCCAGCAACATAGTAGTGGTTCAAGATTAAGCCTAGGCGCAGACCACTGATTTTCAGTTGGCCGATAGTTGGGTCCGGCCGATACCAAATCGGTGTAATGTGCGCACTTTCATACATCTCCATACTGATTAACAGCGTCCCAACTATCGGTCCACTAAAAGTCGGTGGTCTGCGCCTAGGCTTAGGAATATAGTCCCTACACCAATGACAATAGAGCTCACCTTCTCCACACGGTCATCGCCGGTGACCATCACAACCTAGCTACATAAGATTTAGGAATACAGGGTGTTAGGTAAATGGGTATATGAGCCGACACTAGCCCATGTTAACATGGGCATATAAATGGTATGGTGAAGTCAGAAATTTGATATCGTCATTTTTTTTANACCTAGCTACATAAGATTTAGGAATACAGGGTGTTAGGTAAATGGGTATATGAGCCGACACTAGCCCATGTTAACATGGGCATATAAATGGTATGGTGAAGTCAGAAATTTGATATCGTCATTTTTTTTATTTTTATTTTCATACAAAATATATTTGATAAAATCCGATTTACATGAAAATTAAAATAATTAAAATGAAGATATCAATTTTCTGACTTCACCATACCATTTATATGCCCATGTTAACATGGGCTAGTGTCGGCTCATATACCCATTTACCTAACACCCTGTATAGGTCCTACAGCAATAAACATAGAGCTCACCTTCTCTACACGGTCGTCGCCGGCATAGAAAAAACGCCGGTGGCCAGAAACATCGTAGCTACACAAGATTTAGGATTATAGTCCTTACAAGAATAAACATAGAGCTCACCTTCTCCACACGGTCGTCGCCGGTGACGAGCACGTCAAACACGCCGTTCTCGATGACGTAGAAGTTGTCGCCGTCATCGCCCTGCCGGATCACGTACTCGCCAGGCTCGGCGCGTTTCTCAAACATGGCGTCCAACACCTGGATACATACATTATGGTTACAATGCTGCTCGCGATAGAGCGAACGTTGGAGAAAATGTGGTTAGCAAACGTTGGGCAAATTGCGGCCTATGTATCTTGGACAAACTTTGTGGCCAAGGTTTGCATTAAGGTGTTTCAGATCGGTAAAAGCAATCTTTATTAAGTTGTATTTATAATGAGGTGTTTTTAAGTAATTTTAATGACTGATAAATTATTTTTTCATGAATCGAGTTTTCAAAGGTCCAAAAGTAAGATGAAACATACATATTTCTATAAATATAACTTCTGTTTTTTATCTAACGACGGAACTCAGTAGGAGGTCTCTGCCCAGCTGCGGAAACCAATTATGAGCTATTAAATGCTATTATTGTTGTTTTATTTACGATTATTGACGTAACAGCTAATAAAATTTCCTTTCAATGTCAAACTTTGTTATTGTGGATTCAGAGGTAATAAGTTAGCTTTACATAGAGGAGTCATATAAACAAAATCACATCACTATTTCGCTGATTACGACTTTCAGAGATACGAAGAGGGTGGAATCTGAAGCCTTAGTAATTAGGGACACTTGGAGTTTGGAGTACTGCAGTCATTTACGGCTGATCTGAGAATCATTGGGGAAGGCCTACTTTCAGCAGTGGACGTCGTAACCACATAGCTCGTAGAGACGATTGCCGTTGGGTTGGGGCAGAAAAGTTTTCGAGTGGCGACCACGGACCGGAAGACGTAAGCGTGGGCAGGCCTCCCACTAGGTGGACCGACGACCTGGTGAAGGTCGCGAGAAGACCCTGGATGCGGGCAGCGCAGTTCGTTATGGAAATCACTGAGGGAGGCCTTTGTCTGGACAATGTCCAGTGCTGGTAGTAGTCATTTGGCTGAAACGTAGGATGCAATCAGTAGTTCTTACCTGCTGCATCTGCTGTGCGTCCAGCGAACGGAACAGCAGGATGCCTCGCACCGCCTCCGCCAGCCGGGCGCGCTGGGCATCCGACTTGGGGAACACGGCGGGGGCTCCCTCGTCAGAGTCATCCTCCTCCGGGTCGTAGGTCTCGGCGAAGACCGACTTACGACGGTTGTTGAAGCGCGCCACTGGCGGCTCTGTTCAGACAAGTTGACATCAGACATTGTCAGAGAACACAAGATGGACTATGTGTAATGTGGCTCTATGTTCCTAAACTAAGTCTTCTAGAGGTAAGCTAGCTGATTGCGACGATGGGGATGAATTTTGATAGTTTGCACCAATTTCAAGTCTATTTAAATCTTTATTGGGTTTGGAAGAGCTTGCAAGAAAAATAACCATTAATGCGGAGCCGCAAACGCATCTTGCGATTTAAATGCAGTCGCGAAATGAAAACAAGCGCTCGGAGCACGCAACGCACGTTGGAGACGCGTCTTGGCATGTCAGACTCGAAGTGACGTCTGACAGTGGCCAAGCCGCGAATAGATTTTGACTTCCCAATGCTACGAGTAACTTAAGGACGTCACAGTTCATGTAAACTGTGTACCTCAGTACCCAGCACCTAAAATAACATTTGGAAACTAAACATCGCGACCCGGGCCAGCCGTGCCTTTTATGGGATGTTTGTTTTACCGGAATACACTTTAGTCTCTTTATATCACAGATTCGTCTACTTACGCTTATTACATTACCTAGCTGCGCTTGAGTGCAATAAAACCAATCGATAACAGGTAACTAGGTGCCTATTAGCACGCACCGTAAACAAAGAGTAGATTTCATACCATAAAAGGATGCACTATAAAACTATAACTGCATCCTTAACGATTTTAACGATACATAAAAGCTTGTAATGTGGAATTTATTAAGTTAGTAAGAGCCAATTTCAGCGTTTTACGGTGTGAGAACAATCATAAACCGACATTTATGTTTTCACTTCCAAATAAATTTCTCATCACATACATACATGCCCACGCTACGTTTTCCAGCCCGTGGTCGCCACTCGAGAACTTTCCTGCCCCAACGGCCATCGTCTCTACGAGCTATGTGCCCCGCCCACTGCCACTTGATTTTAGCAATTCTGCGAGCTATGTCGGTTACTTTGGTTCTCCTACGGATCTCCTCATTTCTGATTCGATCACGCAGGGAAACTCCGAGCATAGCTCCACAGCGTAGCGTGGGCAGGCCTCCTACTAGGTGGACCGACGATCTGGTAAAGGTCGCGGGAAGAGCCTGGATGCGGGCAGCGCAGGACCGTTCATTGTGGAAAACCTTGGGGGAGGCCTTTGTCCAGCAGTGGACGTCATTTGGCTGAAACGAATATACGAATATACATACATGCAATGACGGCGCGCCGATTTACGTGGTGCTTTTAGAATATGTATTCCAGCAAATGACCTCATTCAGTAAATATTAAAAACATCTACTGTAATCGCGTTATCCCCGGAGATAAGGTAAGTAATATGATCAGTAAGGGTCATTTACAACGATCGCTACACTCTGCCCAGAAGTTCAAGGCCGGAACGCAACTTAGCTCCGTCCTACATCTTTGATCGTAATATATACAAGAGTACACAAGGTTGTCATTATTGCGGAGCTAAAACGGGAAAACTGAAGCAAATAAACGGGGCGTAGCGTATTTGCTAGTCCTGACGATATCTCCGGCAAAAGGACGTTTTGGGAATTATTCAGTTAGCGTTTAACTGCACCATTTGGTCGTCACCTGAGCAATTTTCTGTAGAGCACATTAGTGATAATATTGCTAAAATGAGATAAACAAAACTTTTGTACATTAATTGGGATTTTAATTATGTATGACAGCAGAACTTGCGGCTTTAGGCTTAGCCCTGTAGATTTAGATCGATTGGCGTCACACTCGGATTAAAAGTAAGTATAACTAACTAATCCATTTCTATACCTATGTAGGTACTTATTTTAATCAAAACTTCCAAGGCTTATCATGAGTTCATTGAATCAATGGTCATGGGTAACTGCTTTCACTCCACATTAGAAGTACTTATAAATCACACAAACCAAGTTATGTTTTATGTCATTGCAATAGAGGTCAATTAATCTGATACAGATATCAAGTTGTTTTGATATCAAGTAGGCTTGTGATCTACAAATGCAACTAATAGGCAAATGGTATGTCTGTAAACAGAATCTGAATAAACTTTTAATTTCAATTATTTTCCAATTAGGTTTTTGAATTTTGATCCTATTTCATTTTAATAAGATTATTTAGGTAGGTATTCTAAACATCTGTGGTTTTGTAAATCTGTGTCTAAAATGTTTGTTGGTAGGTACCTACTCAAATAAGTAGGTATTTGATAGTTGTTGAAATTCTAGTCAAATGTAATATTACTTAGTAGTGAATCAAAAATATAGTTAATTGTTCTTTGCCTAGCCAGATAAGCGCTTAGAAATACCATAAAAATCAATTTATAATGGTTAAGAATGCAGCCTAGATTCTAGTTCAAAGATTATTATGGAATGTTGCGCAAAATCAAGTTCTATATTAAGGTTTTGTTTGCTTTGTAACTGGAGGTAGTTACCAACTTTAAGTGTGAGATATCAGTAACTAATCTCTACTGTCATGTATAATTCATAGTATAATCTATTTAAAATGTTGAACATACTGAATGTAAGCTTGTAAACTATGACATCACATAATAGTTAATAGATGTTTGCAGCAAATGGCCTTAACACTTGGAAATGTGGTACGAAACAATGGTTTCCTTACACACATAAGAAAAACAGCTTCATGAAGAAAAAACAAAGACATTTCTCAAAATGAGTCATTAACCAGTAAATGCGTGGTGTAATGATCATCTTACTCCAACTAAGTATGTACTCGTACACTAACAATGAAACAGAAACATCTCTTGCGCAAATACAACTCAAGGTCTGGTTAGCACCTGTAGATTTCATTGTAATAGATTCTTTGCTACCTGCCATTACGTACTCCCAACTAATTTTATGTAACACATGCGTAAAAAAGGCCAACATCTGTTTCTGTTCACAATGTTACCGTCAGCCGCGGACATGGGAAAAATAAGCCAATCTCGTCATCACGCAACTTCAAAGCATTAAAAAACAAACACACAAATGGGATCAGTGTGTAGTAAACACTGAAAATTTATGCCTCTCCAAAATGTACACTCAAAACCTTGCATTCTTTTAGTTTCTTAAAACATGTTAGTATCATTTGAAATATAAGCTTGGGAAATACTAAATTGATAAAAAAAATTATCTGTTTTTGTCTACGATCATGGATTCATGGAATTGTAATTAATCAATTCCTTCTTGAACTGATTGTACAGAATCACTTTTGTCATATAAACTAACAATAACTGTCCTGTCCAATTTATTTATCACTTGGCAACAGGCGACAATATTCAGTAAAAACTTGTATAATAACGTAAATAAAGTTATATCATTGAAACTGTAATGGCAGTGTGCCAAACATCGAAAGATTACTACTGCTGGCTATAGTAGAGAGAGTATTTATAAATATTTTTTTATCAAGCTTATGATCTGAGGATACTTTAAATAGTGGAATTGTTTCTGTGAAGAATTTTGTTCTTTAGAATTATACAAAACCAAGAATAATGAAGATTTTATTTATAAAGATTATAATGATAAGAGTCAAAGGAGTTAAGCTGTAAATCTGAGCTAGTTGAATCAAACTAAATTGAATTCAATCACCAAAATCTTAACCCATTGAGCTCGCAAATGTAAAAATTTAGGTCAACCATGTGTAATAAAACTGTTTGGAATAGCAATGCTTACTGCTATTCCATCAAATTTGCCCACAATACATAGCTTAATTTATTAGTGATATTTAGGTTCATTCTATATGATTCTATTTTCATATTATAAAGCCTTAGGATTTATAAATGGCATTCATATAAGTCATGGTGATATTATAGCCTGAATTTGGTGCAATTTTTATGGCATGCAAGTCGCGCGTGAACTATGTAACTAGTTGCTCATGGACATTGGTCAATCACATGAAATGATGTCGCCCTAGCACTACGGGGCCAGCTAAACCCACCTTTGTAATCCTGACAAAATTCTCGTGACTGTTACTGTTTGTCTAAATAATAAGTGTAAAGTAGTACCTTCTTCATCTGATATTATGGACTCATCGGGCGTGCCGGCAGCGGGGCCTCTCACAATGGTAGTCGTCCTGTTGTTCTGTAACCTTGTGAAGAATTCAACAGCGTAGTTGATCACGTCTCCCGGTTGCTCCAGAAGGTAACTTATGGTAAACTCCAGTAATATTTCTCTAAGGTCATCAGGAACTTGTATGCGTCCGCCTTGAGGCCTGCTCATTTCTAACGGCGTCGCCTCACTTTCTCGATATTATCAGACCCGGAGAATGTCAAAGCGACACGTTAGATTACAATTTCGATATCATAGCCATCGAATTAGCTAAAGCGACACACCAACGAGCAACCTTACGATGGGGAAGTAGCACTACATACAAACGTTAGTAAGAAATAAAACCACACTATTATACTAAGACTTTTTCAAATAATAATCCCGGCTACGAGAAATTAAATATAATGACACACTTTTTTCAAAATATTCTTCGTCCTCCAGCCTGACAAATATAAAATCTCCCTTCACTAAAGTAAAAATGGCGATTTTTGGATTGTCCTACTTCGGCTCACTTCACACGCGTTTCAGATGCTTCTTGCCAGTAACAAAAAATAAAAACTACCAAATAAATGACAATCGATCGCCCGTCCTCGTCATAGAATTTATAATGACAGATAGATACAACACATTTATAGTTCCAAAATACTGAACTGTCCTATGCATGACATTGACAGTGGGGCGCCACCGTCAATACCGGATCGCTGGTTCCGATTTTTGCCATGTTGGAAACCATATAGTTGAACGATGGTAGCGCCCCCCTGTCATTGAGTTTGGTGGGACAGTTCAGCTTGGGTCATCTATATTACTTTTTGTCAATTGCTTCCAGATGGCGTTGTAGTAGCCTGTTCCTAATGGTCGGCCTTAGGATATTTTTTTATTATAAATGTTCAAAAAATATGCAACTCGATATAAATCCTTCATTTTTTTAAATATGAAAATATTAAGCTGTTAAAAACCACTATTATTTGGGGTAAGCTATAGCCTCAAGATACATTCTATAACTGCTGCAGCTGTTGCCTAAAAAGGTGATGTCGTGATATAAATTAAATAAATGATACATCAAAGGAAAAATAAAATAAAATCAAGTAACATCTTAAATTATTATAATATTGAGAAGTTACAAAGCTTTCAGCTTTCTATTTACACGATTAAATATACAGCATGTTTCAAATGACGCATGACGGCTCTAAATTGAAGTACGTTGTACACGATGTAGAGCAATCATAACGTTCGCATTTAATATTACATTTCAGCAATTTCCGTACTATGTATCTGACATCATTTTTCTTATATATGAAAATTTAGTAAGACAATCATTTACAGGTACGACAACGATATTTTTTGGGGATTCGTATTGGTTATAATCACTCATTTCAGATATGACGTCATCTTCATCAGAGAATAGACTTGGTTCTTTCAGCTTCAAACAATTTAGGGTAACACAGGCACACTTTTGTAACACTTCACAAATGTCTTGAACTGCTCTAGCGGTTATAAGTTCACAGTTTTCTGATAAATATGATACGGAACAGCCAGGATTTTCAAACACCTTATTCAATACCACTCCAGCCCATTGGAGGAATATATCGCTTCTTATTTTCGATTCAAGTGTCAACCAGGGTATGGGTATTATCGAACTATCTTTGATTTGCATTGTCCATTTCTCAGTAAAATCTGCATGGACCAAGATGTTGTNGATGTTTTCGTAGAAGCCCACTCGTTTCATGATGTATTTAGCTTCCAATTCTGTTACATTTTTTATGAGCGTATTTTTGTCGCAGTTCAAAGATTTCTGCAACAAGGTAAATTGTATTATGATAAATTAGAATAAGCTAAATATAGTATTTCCAGAGATAATTATATAAAAACGTCTAGACATACCTGCAGCCCTTCAAACGTGGTACCTTTTTCACCTTTTTGTTTCACATACATTACAATATCTGATTCCAATTTGTCTAAAATTTTGGATGTATCTTTTTCATAAATGATGGATTGCCTGAAATTATTTATTATCATTTTAAAATGTGGTATACATAATAGTACAGTTACTAATTACATGCTTTGAATATAGAATTACCTGGAAAGATCTTCCAATGCATGTTTGATTTGTATGTCCTTGTATTTATCTCCCAGCGGAGCATCGCTCTTCTTTTTCCAACCCAACTTCCCAGACTTAAGTTTGAAATTTGTTTCGATATCAATGACATTTAGTTGCTCATCCTGCATTATAGACCCGGATGGTCCAGTGATCACTGGTACGGTAATAGCAACCAATTCTATAGCCCCTATAGAATTTAATTCGAAGCAAAAACAGTTAGTATAAGATCCTGGTTTTATTGGGTCCTCACTGTCGTTTTGATTTAGACAATCAACCAAAGAACTGGCAAAACCTGAGCTTAGCCTGCTTGCCCACTTACGTTGATAGTTAACTGATATTCTATATGAGCACTGCGTTATATCGTTTAATTCCACGATGTGCATCTGATTGTTCAATATTTTCTCTTTGGCGGCGATCGCACCACACTTTCTCAACGGCTCAATTGCTGTTCGCAAGAAGAGTTCCGTAAATTTCCCGAAATAAGCATAAATTGTTGCAGCATCCTCCTTAGTCAACCCACTGTCGAAGGATAACATCACGGTCAACATCATCGCTTCTTTCAATGTAGAAAGGACAATTTCGTCATGAGGAGTCCTGTAGAGATTTTGACGTTTGTTAGCAGAAGCAGGAATTATATTAAAGTTTCGGTTGAACTCTTCAAAGCTCATCGCAATGCATGGAATGTCTTGAATCTGTGACATGTTTTTCAACAAATGGTAAATAATCCAAACCAGTTCCATCATTGGCACGCGTGCTTCGCTTATATATTTAGCCATATTTGTCGGGTACATGGTTCTAAGTTTTTTCAACAGCCCTTCATACCTGACCAACAGTTTATTATGTTTTCTTATTTCATTCAATACCCAGTTTTTCTCATGTGTTAAAGTCGAATTTGAATCAATAACCGCTGATCTTTTGTGACACGTTTTTAGTGTCTTTTTTGGGTCGTTGATTGTTAAAATATCTTTTGCGGCGAGATTCCTAACTTGGAGAGATCCAGGTTGCGAAACAGGGCTCAGTATGACCAATGCTGCTTTGCACATCATCAAAAATCTATCCTCTTCAAATGTCCACGTTGTTACTTCAGTTATTCTCTTTTTATCTCGTCTGATATTGATAGGTTTTACATTTTCAATATTCACTTGTGGTTTTGATTTTTTCACTTGAACTTTTTTGGTCTTTTTCTTTACTAGTCTGGGTTTCTTAGTCCTTTCTAATTTCGGGATGTGTACTCGTTTCATTTTTTTGATTTTCATTGTTGTAGATCTGATGCAGTAGGCTTTCCAAAGTCTCTGCAAGTCCATGTAATAACTTGAGTCGTATCCACAAGGCCCGAGACCGTCACCGTGCCGCTCTCCATTATCAAATTGTTCTACTTGTTCTTTACTGCGAGTAGGTGTCTTGATTATTATGGCTTTTTTTCTGTCTTGTAGCTCTATTGTCGTGTTGAGGCTAATGTTATAAACAGAGGTCCAAAAGTCTTGAACAACTTCAAAACTATCAAAGTGGTACTCTTTTTCCATGGCTTCATATGGATCATTTTTTCTAGGCCAAACTCCTGAAGTGTCAATGATTTTGGCGAATTTGTTTAGATAGAAAACATTGACCGTCATGTTATTGTCTGGGATTCGAGTAGCTTCAAATGAGTCTGCCACAAACTGGACCAGTCCAAATGTTCCTAGTATTCTTAGACTGCAGCGTAGTGAACTATTCAAGTTGCTAGAGTTCATTAAGCTTCTTTGTACATCTTTTGGTGCCTCACTTATTTTTAATGAGTACATACTGTTGTCAATAGTTAGCTTGGCTATGTCGATAACTCCCTCACTGGATATATGGCCTAAGGCCACACCAACCGTTAGTTCTGGTAAAAGACTTTCCATGCTGAAGAAACCTTGAGGCAAATTTGAGTCTTCAGACTTGATGTCATTGAAATACACTATCGTCATAAGAGATTCATGCAATTTTTGTACTTTTACAAACCGCGGGAATGCATATTGTGATATTGGTCTATCACCAGTCATCTTTTTCTCGGCCAAATCTCTGTTAAAACTGGCTCTTGACAAAATTTCTTTGTATTTAGCTCTTATTATGGGGTCGGTCTTTTGCACATGTGGTGCACATAATAGAATTGAGTATTGATTTTGAATTCGTGGTAATTTCATTTTGAATACTTTAATGTGTCCTTTATTCATCATATTTTGAAGAAACATTTTCATTGCTTTAGTGTCCATAGGAGGTTCGTTGATTTCTTTGGAAACATGATTACTTAGTGTCTGGTACCCCATGACGAATGTTCTTTCGTTAAGAACTTTTAGTATTCCGCTGGCAAATCTAATGTGCCGAAGGGATTGTTTTGTATGGGGTTGGTGTTTTCTATTGCTAGAGTCGACTATTTCCTTTATTTCTATGATATTTTCTGTAATATCATCAGTTTGTTCAGCGTCGTTATTTTCGAGTTTCCTCTTCTTTTTATGTACAAGAGGTTCCGAGTCTGAACTGTCGCTTCGTTTGGTTGTTGTATTTTTTCCTTCTTCAAGATATTTCTTTAACTTCTCTTGCTCTTCTGCTAATGTATTGTCCATTTTCGAAGTGGCAGCGATAGCAATATATCTGAAAATATGACGAGTACATGATGATAAATTTAGAATATATAATAACCAAATAAGTGCTATAAAAATATTATTTACCTCCCCAATCTTTGCTTGCCTTTGTATTCAATAAATTCCCTGACGATATTTTTCTTCCTGAAAACTCTGCAAAGAGATCTGCTCACATAAAACTCTACCCCCAAAATTTCGGCCAAGTCATTTTGTGTCAACCCATGCTTTCCGGCATCTAGAAATCTTTCGTATGCCTGCCTCATTAGATTGACACCAACTTTGTATTGGCATTTCTTTGGTATAACTTCCTCCTCTTCAGATTCGGATGACTCATCACTTTTTGAGACCAAGCACATGTATCGCCTTCGGTGTAGCTTGGGTTTCACTTTAGGATTTGTTGATTCACCTATTGTGACAAGTTTATCTGCCTGTAAAATGTGAACAAAGTCAACATACATTTCTACCAGTATTAGCAAGCAATAAATATCTATTTCCTATTAGCCTAGGTGCAGACCACCGACTTTTAGTTGGCTAGTAGTTGGACCCGATTCTAATTTGTATGAAGAATCGGCCGATACCAAATCGGTGTGATGTGCACACTTTCATACATCTCCATACTGATCAACAGCCCGACCAAACTATCGGCCAACTAAATGTCGGTGGTCTGCGCCCATGCTTAGTCTTTTTCATACTTATTTTGTTCATTTCATTTTCAACTTTTCCTAATTAATTGTAATAAGTAAAATAATTAGGTACTTACAAATTGAAATATATTGACTTTTTTCTGAAATCTTTTACTTTGCAGTGGTGTCATTAGACCCTTCTTGATAACATTTTCAGCTGGTTCACAATAATTGGGACGGTCCTTTAAATAATCCACAAGATCCCGTATCAGCCCAGTTTTGGCTACTGTTAGCACAATTGCTTTGTGGAATCGTCTCAATCGAAGTAACAGGCCTTTTACGGCTCTGCCTCCGGTCACTTGTGTGATATAAGTCACCCTGACCAAGTCCAAATCTTGTAACGTCTTGCGGTAATAGAACAGTATTTTTGAGTCTTTTACTATTTTCGTCAAGTTTGATTTTCCAGTTGTCATTTGGCCCTGAAAGAAATTATACAACAAAATGTATTACATACTTTGAAATACAACTGGTTTCAACAAACTGGTTTGAAAATTTTGACGAAAGAAAAAAAAACTGGTTACACTTACATTTTCTCTGGACCTGCCAATAAGTTCCAATAAACAATAGTTTATTTTAGGCAGTAAATTGATGTATGTCATGGGTAAGTTAGGCGCTAAAGCCTTCCATCTCTCCTCCAATGAGGCAACCAGGACCAATTTGTCACCATATTGAGACATAATGGTCTTGTATGGTAACTCTCTGATTTCGTTGGACAACAATTTCCGTGTAGCGTATTGTGTACATGATCCATAGTCATCTTCAGCTGGATTGTACTCAAACTCACCATCAAGGTAAAAGTCCTGTAATTATAATATTGGTAAGGTATTATTTTATTATTTTCCCTTTAGGATCATCTCTGACAGCTGATTTGTAACGAGATTAATTGTATAGAACCATATTCAGAATTTGGCGTTTTAATTTAGAGAACCAACCTAAAGATTGGAATCAAGTTCTAATTAAGGTGGGAATTATATTCCCACTGCCATATTAAGGGTTAAAACTTTTACATTCCTTGGCATAAAAAGATGATGATAAAGGTTATTGATTAAATGTAACGGATTTCAAATAAAAACAACACCACTTACAGGGTCCAAGAGGTAACCAGTTTGTTGATGCACTATTGAAAGCCGGTCTACAATATCGATATGCTGCATTGGTACGGGCAATTCAAAAATTGAAATGCGTTCACAATTTACGATAAAATTCCACCATCTTTGCTGCATTTTCTCCAAGAAAGGGTAGGAAATACGCTGTTCTAGTCTTCTCCATAATAAGTCGAGTCCAATGCCTTCTAGTCCTTCTAAAGCTATTTCATCAATTATAAAATCTTTTATATTGCAAGTAAAAGGGCTAGGTGTTTCAACCATTGTGTTGAATTTTAATTAAATTCTTAAAAACCCATAATTCGCACATGGACAATCAAATCAAAACATTGAACTAATTTTTGACATTGATGACAGTTCAGGTCAGTTCTTTATTTTAACGATTCTGCATTAATTGTCAACATAGATGCGGTCCACCAAATGATTTTAGCTATCATTTTTATACTTTAACAGTTGGCACCACTGACGGATACTAGTGGCGCCATCCGGTGAGTGCAAATCAAATCAGTGCAAATTCAATAGGTTCTCTCATAGTTCGCGCCACTGGCTAAGAAAATTAGCCCTTGTGAACTAATGAAAACTTAATTACTATCAATTTTCGGCATCTGTATTATTAAATTTATATTTTGAGTATATTAAACATAAACAGGGTTCTAGATGTTTTGCACCAGGTACTAGGTACCTAAGCTATAGAACTAGGTCTATAAAACTTCGTACAAATTGCGGTACTTTGTCGGAGGCACTACCACTACCTTCAATACCCAGTAAGTACCACATCCAGTACTTACAGACTGGTACAGAATCAGAATCAGAATCAGAATCATCATAAAATCAGACCCAATAAGAACGTTAACTACTGTTTCGGGTGTCAAGAAAACAACAAATCAAGTTTCAATATTTTATTTACTAAAGAAAAGGAATACATTTTATCCTTTGCTAAAATATTTAGCATATAATTAATAATATTTTTATGAGAAAATGATCATAACATTTTGAACAATGGTAAGCAAAATACGAAATTCATGAGGTTGCTTTTAGTTCTTTGCAAACCATTGTTTCACAATCTATTTGTTTCTAAGTAGTCATAAAAAAATTGCACTCTATGAACATTGGCAGCGAATTACAGGTGTTTACTATCACTGCGTTGCGTTTTGCATTATTATAAAACCCTACTTAATTCTATGGAGTGTCTAAAAGCAAAATGAATGCGGTTTCAACAAGTTATAGAAAGTTGATGTTACGTATAGGTATTGTTTATTCGAAGGGAAGGTTGATGACGTTAGAATATTATTCTAATATCGGCTGGGGATGGAATTGGAATAAAATTCTGGTGGTTGGTATTATGATGAGACCAAAACTTAATTGATTCTCAAGCATAGATCAAAGCCCCCGATTAGTTGATTTTCAATCTCAACATAGGTACGAGTAGGTATCTACCAATTCCTTGTGTATCTTTAAATTAAGAACTGCATATATGTATCTATCGTTCACTCACAAATTAAGATGCACATTGCACAAGAGAGAGTAATCAAATTAAAGAGTTTACATAAATAACTTTACTCATGTCTTGTAATTCTCGTACTGCTTATAAATTGTTGAGCCACAGTAAACATTTTAAACGATTTAAATTTAAGTTTACTCCAATTCCATCCTTCGAGTTTCTAGAGGGCGGTATCTAGTTACAAATACTAAAGGCACACTATAGAAACTCACTAGTCCACGCTTACGTTCGATTCGGTCGGCCGACAACTCAACAACAAAGCAGCCGACAAACGACAATGTCGGCCGACAGCACAACAACGGATTTGTCAAAGACAATTCCATCAGCTGACCGAAACGAAAGCGGTATTGGGTGGGGCGTAGGTAACAAGGGCAGATCCAGAGTAGGACCCACTCTATTTGTCTATGCACTGAACGTAGAGACATGAAAAACTTTTTATTGGCATGGTTTCAAGAAAGAGAGAACCCTGTCAATAAAACATTTTGAGCTCGTTTCACTTTTGAAATTCTTACATTTAACAATGGTAATAAATCCACCTGTTTAAAAGGTAACTTTGAAAATTCACAGAATCCTCCCCTTCCGAAAAATCACGTCTGGATCAGCCCTCGCGTCAACGCCGTCCCGCGGGAGTCAACGTAGTCTGTCACTTCGTTAGGCACTTCCCAATGTTCCTGATTCGCTCCCATCAGCAGCCCAATCCTGCTAAACAAGCGACTAGAAGCTCTATTTAGATCTCTGGAGTATTTAAAAGCACTGAATAGTTTAAACATTAGATTTTGGAAAACACGAAGGTAGGTACTTCCCCTTCGTTAACGACTAAAAAGTTCTAAAACTTGTTTATGGTTCACCAGAATTGGGCCCCTGAGCATCTCATCTATTGTACTATATCGAGAAAGCAAACAAATGATCAGTTTGAAGACCTGCCTCAGTTAAATCTAACTTTACTTATTTAGTAAAAATATAATTTTCTATATTTGTTATTATAAATACCAACAGTTAATATCCAATCCGCGTTTTTGTATGAACCGATGCAAAGAGAGCTGCTATTATATTCATTAACGTTATTAACTTACATATAAGTATTTTATAAACTTGCACAGGAGCAGTTATAGAACTTACAGAGGTAAACACAACTTTTTATAACGAAAAGGTACCTACTTATTTACCTAAGCGCGAACGAATTGTACGTTAGGTACACTTTCCAAGTCAACTGTACCAGTTTTACAATGTTGATTAATCAAACAATTTAAAAGAGTGGAGACCGTATAAAATCAGAAAAATCTCAACTTAATGAAGTCAGAATTTTATAATAATGAAAAAATATTGAAAAAGTCAGATAACTGAGTGCCAGTTCTCCAAAGAGTATAATTTCACAGGCGGTCGTGGCAAACTCGTTCCAATTTCAAAGTAATAAAATAACTTTTATCATAATTTGAAATTGGACCGTGATATTTAAAAGTAGAAAAATATTGCACACGCACTAAACCGATTTATTCGAATGTTAACGAAATCAATCCCAAATATTTACATTATTAGAATATAGTTTTTGGGTAGTGATAGTTTGAGAGTAATGTTAATGTGACGTAAACGAGCTATACCTTAAACGTTATTATGAAAGTTGCGGATTTCATATTAAATTCAATCCTCTGTAAATTACTTATTTCTTTATTTCAATAAAAGTCTTCAATTTCTAACACTAAGGCTTCGAGTTTCAAACAAAATTAAGCGGTCTATCATAAACTACCGTACGATACGTTCTATATAATTCTCAATATAATTATAAATCAATAATTTTATGCTTATTACAAAAGACTTTCTAGGCATGTTATGTTTACAATTAACTTTACGAGTATAAAAAGATGGTTCAGTAATTTAAACATAGAAATGGTTATTGTACATTTCATCAATATTTTTAATTATTACAAAAACAATTCTTAACAATTCTCCTTCAAAAATTTTCTTGCGCTTACACTCTAACGCTTACTTTAAAATTACTCGACGCTTCTAATTACATTACAGAACTCGCTATATACAAGAACTAGCCTCTTTACGTATGTGTTTTAATTTTGTGTGTGCTGGGGTGGAAATGATGACCTGTTCAAACAATAACCAAGCGTAGAGAACTTTCAGTCTTATGTGGTATAACATGATGACTTTAATAGCACCGCACGCGCTAACCCGTGTCGGTTTGAGTATTATCCAGAAGTCAAAGCATTCGTGAAACTCTATACAGAAGTTGTATATACTATCTTACATTATACATATTATCAGAACATCATTTCCAACGCCAGCACTATTATCCAAAAAAGACCGAACGTCTATGAAGCGTACTCACCGCACGGTTAACATACAAAATAATAAATGTGCGTATATCGGTTATTAAATTAAGTTATACGAATTGGCAGTTATATCCGTTGTTAAACAATTAACTCGATAAAGTTTTAGCAATTACCACTACAAATAAATAATTTACATTACAAAATCATGGCATCTTTGGTATGTCATATACATTAAAGAGAAATAATTATTGTGAGTAACACGAAGGCAATCTTGAGAATGCCCTTATTTATTATGGCGTTATAAAAGTTATCTGTGCAGGCTAGCCGACAGGTTTAATGATCTGGTTATTCTCAGAACCAAACTGGCCTCTAACATCAGTTATATGGCCAGGAGTAAGCTGAAGAACATCATTAAAACATGTCGGTTAGCAGTTTTCCATATCAATCTCTACACTAATGGCGATCTAGAGTCTGCGCTAACATCAGTCCCAAACAAAAACTGAGTCATTGTACTGTACAAAATACAATCCTGCCACACACACTTAGGCACTAAGTCATTACAAATAGAATTGACATTTTCTTTATACACATCCAATTGTCAACAATGAGCGAAGATGAGTTTGAACACTATACATCATCCGGGTAAAATGAGGACTAGCAAATCACAAAATAAGTGACACGCGTTTCAATAGGACAACAGAACTTCCTATACAATCACAAAACATCAACAGGAACGATTCTGAAAGGTTTATCAACGTTTGGCCCTCTTTTCTGAAAATGTAAATTTAGAATGACAGTAGACTAAAAGATGTCTTCAGTGTTACAGAATGTATGTACACAATGATCACAGTTACAGACCGTAACTATACAATGGCGCACCAACAATCTAAATTGGCAATGTGGCATCACAGTGCCATCTTAAACTATGTATCTATGTATACATAATCGCTAAATCTATAACATTATCGAATAATTATCAAAACGATACCCCTAATAATCTAGATACACCCATAAGAAGCACTTTTTTAATGAATGAATAAGTATCAGAACTTTACATATCATTTATACATGGTAAATATAATTTATATTATATTTTGTGTTTTTATAATGTCATTGGTTTCAACTATAATGTTATAATAATCGTTTAATCTAGTGCGACTGACGTGTCCTAACTAAGCGCTGGTACGCACACATTCCGTCCAGAAGGGGAATGGAATTGTAAGTAGGAGCGCTCCCATTATTCTTGTCAAGTCATAATAACGCTAGAACTTTAGAATAAGAGAATCCTCCCTATAATTAATGACGTAATGCTACAAGTAGTAGGTATGTAAAAAAGCAATCTGTGAAACCATTGCAGTCTTTAACCAATTGTATGCGATGCACCAGTCACCATTTCCATAGAGTATAGATTAACGAGACAATAAGACCATCGACTAAAAACTGCAACGCCACTCACAATTTCACATTAACTAGTCATCAACATGTTACCAACAAAAACTTATATTTTTCCCTAAATTATTTTGTAAACTATGTATAGTCTAAACAATCTACAATTTGTTACAATATTCATCTCACATACATCAATCGATAATATTGTTCCGTCTTTTAAAAAAAATACATGATTCTTTTCACATATCCTCTGACCGCAGAGATACGATATTTGTTGGATAATCACCAGTACGTATATTTTATTCAATGGAAGAAAAATTCTCATCACATTTGTGAAATATTACAATACATGTATTAAATTTCATCAAGCATCGCAACAAGTAATGTCTAGTTATAATATAACAGTTTCGTTTCTATATCGCACTCAACAGGTCTTCAAGAGACGGGTCATATCATAACAACAAGTTCTCATTCAACGATCACTGAGTTTGTATTTGGAATGTCACATTCACGGAGTTCGTTGGGTTCTCGTTAGATCGAGAGGGCGAGTGCCTCTGGCGGAGGGGGCGGGGCGGCGCGCTAGTTGCGGTAGATGTAGGCGCAGGGCTGCGGGGCGGGGGGCGGCGGCGTGGGGGGCCGCTCGCCCGAGGGGGAGGGGGAGGACGACGGCGGCGACGGCGACGACGACGATCCGCCGCCGCTCGCTGAGCCGGACCCCGACCCGCTGCTGCGCTGCGACACTGTGATTGGGAAAACTAAATGAGAATTTGTCTACCGTGATTAACCTTAAATCATTCAGATTCTACTCCCAAATATCACGAAATATTTATCATTTTGCGATTCCTTCACCAGCTTTAAATATGACAGCAGTGCAAGCTATATTTGGAAAGGTATAGGTACTCTGATAAAATCAGAGTCCTATGCCCGTTTTCACCATCAATTCCTAATTTTTAAGTGATCCCTATGGCAGCAAAATTCCTGTTAATTGTTACCATAGGGGTCACTTAAAAATTAGGGATTGATGGTGAACGGGCACTAGACACCTATAAAAATCCTAGAAAAAATTTGAGTTTGTATTTTTATGCTTAACACAATGTATCAGACAGTGTTTCATGTAATAAACAATTTGAATTTGAATTTGACATAAAAGAAAAAGTAGAACTTACCCAACGTATGGTGGTGATGCGTATTATGCTTATGGTGATGCATCTGGTCGCGCGAGTCCGCCCCGCTTGTTTCTCAGAGGTACACTTTCTTCACTGAGCGCGTGGTCGAGAAGCCATTGTCGTTGCCGCGCCGGTACCCATCCCCCTGCGGTCCGAATATTCCTGCGTTAACTGACATGCCGAGGTGAAGGCGTGCGTGAGTTAATGGAGCCAATGAAAGGTTACTGTCAGATTTCAGTGTCCGTGAGTTTCGATGACTTGTAAACAGTTTTGAAGTAAATATGTGCTTTTTCGATTTTAATCTCTGTCATTTGGAGTAAATAATTAGCTCTTTTCATGTTTTAGAATAGTATGCGAAAAAAATTGATTTTTATGAGCTCATTTATTTTGATGATTTCGTATATTTGGTTGAGATTGTGAAACTCACAGGCACTTGGATGAAATGGTTTGTTAGATGATCAAAACATGAAATATGAAATTATGATAAAGCAGGATGATGCATATGATAGTAGAGAATGAAACATCAAGAAATTTAAAGAATTAGAAATTCACAATAAATTCATGCAAACGTAAGATGATAACAGTTTTAATTTAAAGTGAAATGATATTGAAAATTCAATAGTATTCTTTAATCTTCAAACACGATATTTGACTGGTGTGTCAGGCATTGAAACAGAAATGAGTCATATAATTTTTGAAATCGAAGTTGATGTTTTGATTATTTAGGTTTCAGACTTTTTTACTACTTTTTTTTAAATATTTTCACAATAAATTAAACTGAAAATAAACCCATGCAAAAGAAGAAAATGGAGCACAACTGACATTGACCTGATGAGAGCGGAGAGTTCCGAAGTTGTCGCGGCGGTAGGCGTCTGGCTGGAACTGGAATAGCGTCTCGTGGTGGGGGTGGTATGGGGGGTGTTTGCGGAGGGTCGCCCGGGGAGACGCTGGCTTGGGTTGTGGAGCGAGCACAGGCTCGGCATACGTCACTTCTTCAACTTGCTGCAGCAGCTTAGGTTCTGCTTGAATCCTATAATAAGTTTCAAGTTAGTATTAATAATTCAAAGAAAAATAATAGGTCTTCACTTATGAAATTGTCGTTTGAATTAAGGCAAAATTAAGCTATAGGATAAGTATTTTTTAAAATTGATCTAAACGCTATTTAGGATGACCTGTATTTGAAGATAATAATAATAAAAAACATTAAAACATTTTACACAGTGCATAGATACAAGTAATTACAGGAACAGCTGTCGTAAAAGTAATAAAACTCAATAACATTGAAAAATAATCGGCAATTTCATAGGTGAAGACCTAATAAATTAAGCGTTTATTAGTTAGTAAAGAACAGGCCAAAAATGTTAACAAGATGAGGTTGATGAGTTTGTTGAAGACTTGAAGGTGAATTAGATGCCAATGATGCGACTAAGATTCCAAACCTACCAACCTGTTAATATTCTGTCTCTGTTCGAAGTACTCATACTCAGTATCAGGGTACGGCATGTTGTCATCGTCGTCCTTCTTACACCGCCGGCCGCAGATGTAGCCCGCTGCGAATCCAGCGCCTAAAGCGGCTAACGCTCCAGCTGCTACTGCGAGCGCCAACGTTTCTACTGAATACGCTGGTGGTGGAGGATCGGCTGTTATTACTTCTGGACCTAAAGTGTTAGGGAAGGTTACATTTCGGAACAAACAAGAGTCATTCATAAAAAGTAAGACAGTTCTTTCTATCAAGTTTTGTGTGGCAGCAAGGGTTGATAAAACTAAGCTTATTCTTTCCGTACCTTCATTGCTGTTGCTGCCTCCTTTCCCATCTTTGTCTTGGACTATGTTGATAACTTCTCCTTTGGTTTCTCCCCGCGCGTCATCGTACAGGCCTGAGCTGAGTCCGCCGACGGCACCTGCGTCTTTACCTGAAATAACAATTGCATATTTAATACTTATTAAATGGAAAGTAAACGGTTCAAATGTTTTTCCACAAAAGCGCAAAGAACTCAGAAATTGTTTTCTGCCGATTAAAATAAATATGGTCTAACGGCAATATTTAACCAGTCCCAAAGATCTGAGTACTTTAAGGTCTAGAGTGCTTTGCTAAATTAGAGACGGTAGTGCTCCTTTAGTGGAGAATAAATAACCTGATGATAAAGAGTGCCAACATGACGTTGACTTCAGAAGCCGTTCTCTCGACACTTGACACAAAGTAATTTTTAAACCCATAACAGGTGATGATAGTGATGTGCCACTTACTGTGAGGACAGGCCGAGTGGCTGCCAGTATTGACGCTCTGGTAGAAGGAGTTCTCATCTAACCACCGGCTGACTCCGTGCGAGTAGGCGCGGCACCGGCCGGCCTGTTTGTCCCACGCGCAATACGGGTCTTGGAGCGCCACGCATTCTCTGTGAAAGTTAACAAGAATTTAGTTGAATTAATCTGCAAAAAACTAAACTCTGCACTGGATGGGAGTTCGATCATTAACTTCGAACTCCTCATGTTCTTATGATTAATTTTTTTGCGGCTCCAATAACAGTTTAACTTTTTCCCCTGTGCAAACTTGGCCTTTACCGAAAAATGTTCTTGGATATTTTGTATTATTACAGTAACTAACAGTACTTGCTTCTTCTTCTTCTATAGTATGGTTCCAGGTGTCAATAGAGTCAGTTTTACTCTTGATGAACAACCACAAACTAATTTAGGTTATTTACTTAGATACAGTTGTACTTACGAGCACGAGCTGATCTTGTCGCTCGAACACCTATGCAGTCTCAGGCTTAAGACTTCTCTATCAGAGACAGCTATGAGTCTGGCCGCGTCCCTGCCCGCCCTGGCGACTCTCAGGGCTCTAACCGGGGACCCGGCTGCGAAGGCCTGTAGCTCCTCAATGACCACAGGCACTGCTCGCTTGTTAGAGTCGTACGACCATGCGTTGATCGCTTTGATGATTTTGCCATTGTCTGCAAAAATACGGTAGGTTACATTTTAATGCACACCGATAAGATCTTAATTAGTCTGAATTAACCATTTGGTCAACGTGAGACGTGTAGGCTAAATGACCTGATGATAGAAGAAGATGTCAAATGTTACATACCTGTTCCAATAAAAAGCACATCGTACGCTTTTCCACCCGGGGTCTTCACTTGTGGATCCACTGCTATCTGAGTAAACCGATAGCTGTGAACAAAGAAAATAATTATTGAATATGCACTGCACATTACACGTCTACATGGTCTTGAAAACAGGAACTAGATTACTGTTTTGAGTTACTAGAACTTTTTCCAGGATAGTGAGTGACTGAGTGAGTATCTGGCGCTGCTTTTTCTTAGCACTGCATTATTACTGTTCCGAAGCAGAGTACCTATGGTTGGAACGTGTAAAAGTTCTCTTTGGCAGCCTATTTGCTTAAATAAACAATTGAATTTGATCCTCTTCCAATACACGGAATTGAAATCGGGTCACAAGACAAGTATGTCAAGGTTGCCTGTTGTAGTGTAATTAACTAACAGCCTAACAGGCTTCGCATTTATGTTCGACCTTTAAAAAACGATATTTGAAATAGGGAAAAAGTTCAATTACGAAATTCTTCGAAAAAAGGGGAAGAAACAAACGAGTTTATCCGAATAAGGCCCAATTCGACCAGACCGAGAATAACTCCTGGTATAACTGGCACATTGATAGTTTCAGTATGGGCAATATGTATGTCAAAATGTCGAATAACTGACGATTTATTCTTGTTTGGTCGAATCCACCCTTAGGGCTCCTGTACACGACGCCGCCACCGCGACGCCGCCGAGCCGTCGCCGCGCCGCTACACTGTTCATACGCACCGAATAAAACCGCCGCCGTGCCGCCGCCGCGCCGCCACAGCGCCATCAAAGCATAATTTCGCCCGCGGCGCGGCGGCGGCGCGGCGGCGGCGCGGCGGCGGCGCGGCAGCGGTGTTCACGCGGCGCGTATAAACAGTGCAAAGGCGCGGCGACGGCGCGGCGGCGGCGCGGTAGCGGCGTCGTGTGCAGGAGCGCTTAGTATATTACTATACTCACTGAAAACTAGTCCTAATGACAATAGGCTCTCCGAAGAAGGCTGGCACTGACTCGTCCATCAGGGCGTGTGTTTTGATGAAGTTTAGCGTCTGGTCGGGCAGCTGTCTAGAGTCGTTGTGACACGTCCCTGGTCGAGGCTCTGGTACCTGTAAAGAAGTGAGATTATAAATTTTAGCTCTTTGGACGCCACGCGACTCACCGTACACCTTAAAAATTACTTGTGTCTAGTTTCTTAGCAGTTTAAGTCTAATATTCTTATTAAACATAGTGCGATCCATGTGTCCAATTTTTAAAGTCATTGCTACAAACATTACGTACCTAAATAAATGGCTACGTCACAATTAAAAGTACCCGAATAAAGCATTATAAACAGTCATGTTTTCTTAGCTTTGAGTCGCCAAGTAAGCGAATGTTTGCAAGCGGAACATCATATCCAAACTCTGGTATTAAATTCTGATCTTAGGTTGTAAAAAGTTTGAATCCAAAAAAACATAAAACAAAAGCGAATCAAACGCCACCGAACTTAATTTCCCTTTCCCAGACTCAGGGGACATCGACCTAGCATACCTTAGCANTGTAGGTATACCATGATTGATACTTCTGGAGTCGGTGCCAAGATAATGAAACATGTAAAGTTTGCCTGCACCGACTCCAAAAGTATCAATCATCAGTATTCAACAAAATAGTAATCGTTCTAATTGGTTTATAATCGGCGGAGATATTGCGTATAAAAAAGTTCATCCCCAATTTTCCACCCTTGGGGGTTGTTTTTTTTATTATTAAATTTAAATGGGACCACCCTTGAGATATTACCTATACGCTGAAAAAAGATTTGTTCAAATCGGTTAATAATTGGCGGAGCTATCGCGTAAAAAAAAAAAAAAAAAAAAAAAAAAAAAAAAACATACGGGTCGAATTGAGAACCTCCTCCTTTTTTTGAAGTCGGTTGAAAATAAAAAAAAAAAAAAAAAAAAAAAAAACATACGGGTCGAATTGAGAACCTCCTCCTTTTTTGAAGTCGGTTGAAAACTAAACTCTGCACTGGATGGGAGTTCGATCCTTAACTTCGAACTCCTCTTACATTCTTTTGATTAATTTTGTTGCGGGTCCAATAACAGTTTAACTTTTTCCTCTGTGCAAACTTGGGAACATTTTGTATTATTACAGTAACTAACAGTACTTGCTTCTTCTACTTCCATCGCATGGTTCCAGTTGTCAATAGAGTCAGTTTTACTCTTGATGAACAACCACAAACTAATTTAGGTTATTTACTTAGATACAGTTGTACTTACGAGCACGAGCTGATCTTGTCGCTCGAACACCTATGCAGTCTCAGGCTTAAGACTTCTCTATCAGAGACAGCTATGAGTCTGGCCGCATCCCTGCCCGCCCTGGCGACCCTCAGGGCTCTAACCGGGGACCCGGCTGCGAAGGCCTGAAGCTCCTCAATGACCACAGGCACTGCTCTCTTGTTAGAGTCGTACGACCATGCGTTGATCGCTTTGATGATTTTGCCATTGTCTGCAAAAATACGGTAGGTTACATTTTTATTGCACACTGATATGATATCGATGATCTTTAAAAGTAGTCTGAATTAACCATATTTGGTCAACGTGAGAAGTGTAAACCAAATAATCTGATGATAGAAGAAGAATATAAAGACAAATGTGACATACCTGTTCCAATAAATAGCACATCGTACGCTTTTCCACCAGGGGTCTTCACTTGTGGATCCACTGCTATCTGGGTAAAGCGGTAGCTGTGAACAAAGAAAATAATTAATTAATAAATATGCACTACACATTATACTATTCTACGTCTACATGGTCTTGAAAACAGGAACTAATACATTACTGTTTTGAGTTACTAGAAGTTTTTCCAGGATAGTGAGTGACTGAGTGAGTATCTTGCACTGCTTCTTCTTAGCACTGGCCCATTATTACTGTCCCGAAGCAGTAGTAGGGTTGAAACGTGTAAAGTTCTCTCTGGCAGCCTATTTGCTTAAATAAACAATTGAATTTGATCCTCTCCCAATACACGGAATTGAAATAGGGTCACTAGACAAGTATGTCAAGGTTGCCTGTTGTAGTGTAATTAACTAACAGCCTAACAGGCTTCGTATTTATGTTCGACCTTCAAAGAGTTTATCCGAAAAAGGCCCGATTCGACCAACTTTTATCCGAAAATAACTCCTGGTATAACTTGACAGTTTTAGTATGGGAAATAATAATATGTCAAAATGTCGAAATAACTGACGATTTATCCTGAGATTTTTACTCTTATTTGGTTGAATCCACCCTAAATATTATGTTACTATACTCACTGAAAACTAGTCCTAATGACAATAGGCTCTCCGAAGAAGGCTGGCACTGACTCGTCCATCAGGGCGTGTGTCTTGATGAAGTTTAGCGTCTGGTCGGGCAGCTGTCTAGAGTCGTTGTGACACGTCCCTGGGCGAGGCTCTGGGACCTGTAAAAGAAAATAACCATCTTTAACACGTTGAACGTCACGTGACTCACCGTAGACCTTAAAATTTACTGTTGTTTCTAGTTTATTAGCAGTTAAAGTCAGGCTGTGTTGCACCATCATATCTTTAACAAACGTCAGAAATCTGTCAAATACCATACAAAAACACTAGTTATTGTCATAGTTACGGTCAAATTAAGTTGGTGCAACTCAGCCTAAATTCTTGTTAAACTTAGTGAAATTTTATGTGTCCAATTTTTAAAGTCATTGCCACAAACTTTACATACATACCTAAATGGCTACGTAAATAAAGCATTATCAATAGTCATGTAGCCAAGTAGGTAAACTGAATTTCTTCGTTATAAGATAGAAGCATTCGTTGTTTGCAAGCGGAACATCATATCCAAACTCTACTCAATTACCTACTTATAAAATGGTATAAAATCTGATCTTACACTGTAAAAAGTTTGAATCCAAAAAAACGTAAAACAAAAGCGAATCAAACGCCACCGAACTAATTTCCACTTTCTCAGACTCAGGGGACATCGACCTAGCATACCTTAGCACTACTTATTCACTGGCAGCCAATTGGAGTTGATGGCGCTCTGTTCCTTGAAGGTCCCCTCGAAGGTGTCGGCGATGTCTTGCATACTAAACGCGCAGACGGCGCTGCCCGATATGCTGTTAGGGGGCGTTGTGAACGTGCCGTATATCAGCCGAAAATATCGCACGCGCAGTCTTTCGCGCCAATGTCTTTAGCGCATGTGACTTCGCGCAAGTGTTGTTTCTAACCGACGATATCCAAACGCGTGTCATTTAGGAATGAAATGCCTAATAAATCTCATCTTACGTTGTCAAAGTTTGATTCGAAAACAAAAGCGAATCAAAGATCGAACATAATTCACAGACTCAAGAGACGTCGACCTAGCATACCTTAGCGNGATGAGTTGAATTAAGATTGTAATAAATTTTATTCTTACTACACACTAATCTTTAGATACCTAGTCGAAAACTATGGTGACTAATGCGATTAGTAGGTAAGTAGGTATTACACAAAGTTAGTGTTTCGAAACAATGCTCAAACGATTCAATATCAGTCATAGATTCTGCCCTGTTTTGATTTAAATTCAACTACTTAATTAAAAGCTTCGATTCGTTGTCGATTTATAGAATTTAAAGAGTAAAGTTGTCTGTAAGTAAGTACCATGAGGATTTAATTACTTAGACCTAATTTTCTACTTCTTTTTAGCACTAACTTGACAAATTGTTCTTAGCGCGAGAATATAATGCTGCTGATACTGAGAAACCCTTTTAAGAGCAAGTGTGGAAATTAACAAAGGATGATTAATTACTTCTAAAAATTGCTTCATCATTTGAAAAGCGTTTATTAAACAACTTTCTGGAAATCATTGTCATACATACAGGATATAAAATATTAAAATTAATAACATGGAGCAAAATGTTACTCGTATTCGCGGAGATTAACGAATGAACGAAAATTATATTTTTTCCGCGTAAAAAATGTTTGCGAGTGTTGTTGTAATCCCATTTAATTACTTAAAACGGGATCTAGATTAATTATTGTAAACAAGCAATCGTCGAACGATTAATTTTCGCTTTCTCGCGATCGCTGGAAGAGATTGGCAATTAAGTTAAAACGAAATATCGGGTCTATAGATTGATTGATTGCAGCCGGATTTGGGGCAAAGATGCTTCTTTGATGAAGGTCAAGATCAATTCGTTGGTTTTGAATCAAAAAGACGTGTTAGCAAAAATTATAGTAGATTTAGAGTAGGCGCACACCGTTGATTTTTCTTCGGCCGATAGTTTAGTCGGGCAGTTGATCAGTATGGGCATGTATGGGAGTGCGCACACTACGTCCATTCGATTTGGCCGATTCTTCATACAATTCAAAATCGGGCACAACTATCGGCCAACTAAAAATCAACGGTGTGCGCCTACTCTTATGGTTAAGTTTGCAATGTCCATTTTATTTTTCTTATTTATTGCCTTCAGGCTTTAGGCTGAATTCCGCAAACTATCTACTTAATAGTAACTACGAGTAAGTAAAGGTACATATTTAAAGATTACAATGATTGCGTAATCATTACAAAAACGACTGCAGAAAAAGGGAATTCATTATGAGTGAAAACTGAATTCAAAAAGACACTGAATCTTCTTACAAAAATCGCTGAAAGTTTTAATTGTACGAAATTGGTCTTCGAAACAAACAGAACAGTCGCTCTATCTAGAACGATTTTTACATGAATAGAATAAGGAAGAAAAGTTTCTATCCTTGTCAATGAAGGAAATCTTACTTTGAATAATAATACATAATGAAAAATCGGTTCGTTCCTGTGTTTGTTTCAGCCGAATGACGTCCACTGCTGGACAAAGGCCTCCCCCAAGGATTTCAACAGCGACCTGTCCTGCGCCGCTATCGCAATATAAAAAATCGATACTAAAAATAAACTTACGGATCTCATTGAAATAGAAGGGGAAGTCCCCAGCCACGGAGCAGTTGAGCCGGGACTTGAGGAAGGAGGTCCACCGCTGCTTGAAGCGGTGCGGGCCTCCTCTGTCGTCCCGGCACACCCTGGCCACGCGGGAGAACACCGCCTGAAAAACATAGTCGAATTAATCCAAGTTTTTTTCTTTTAAATGTGTTTCAGCATAATATGAATATTATTCTAGAANAGGGGTGGGGTTGCCCGCTCTTTTGTTTTTTACTACTACTACGCTGAATATTGTGTGCGGATTGGCTTGTCGTACAGGGGTACTACACGGTAAAATAAATCTCTTCGGCGAAAACAGGATAATTGAGATCGAACTTCACTTGGTAAGTTCGTTTGATCATATAATAATATGCAGATTAAGGCAGATATCAATATTGTATTGGTACCTTAATAGGATGCATGTATCGTGATTACGGTAACCAGATTCGTTATAACATTTTGTTAGGATTATGATGTGTAACATTTATTGTAATAATGTTTGCTGTTAATTTCCTTAGACCTATTTATAACTTACCTATTGTTATTCTCCTAATACCAATACAATCAGTCAATATTTGGACGTATGCCTAAGCAAATAAGGTTTTAATTTAGAAAGTTGAGTTACAAGCAACAACCCTTCACTGCAAGACTTAGTTTTACAGCTTTATCTATAACGCTTTGTTATGGTGATTTCGCACCGATGTGTCACGCAATGGGACAATGTTACGACCGCTTTCATTCAGTTCAAGCATGTGATAATGTCCAATGGCTCCATCTATATGCAAATAAACGTTGTGTTTGATTAATAACGGCCCTTTGTACATATATTATGTAGGACAAAGCCGCTTAGTGACCTGACGCGTCATAGAATTTGCAGTACTAGAAATGCTGATGATTGATTTTAATTTTTCCCTACAATAAATGCATATTAACAAGTGCTAATTACTTACTATTGTATCAATAAAGTACGTGCCAGAATTGTATTACTGTTGCGATCTTAGTGTTCACAACAAGAATAGAACTTAAGACTTACCATTTAGTGTCATGGAGTCGTATGGTTCTGTTTGTAACGGCTCTCTATAAATGATGGGTTCCATGCCACTGAAGTCTGCTACTGTGCCTGAGTACAGTTCTCCATCTGAAAGAAAAACAAAAATAATCTTTAATAACATACTGATAAGTCTAAGTAAGTCATCATGATAAACGTCAACTTTTGCATTGTGAGCAGTGAGGGGTTTAAATTCTTTTGGTGTAAACTTTTAGAAAAGCGTTTAGCCGAATTAACCAATAAGTGTTTGGTAGCAGGCATGAATGACTGTAGAAGACGGCAAGAGAGATAAAACACCACATCCTTACTGAAATTCAAGGAGAGCCCAAATTTTATCATTATTTGAACAAACTTTACACTTTGTCTAATTTTAACGAAGACAATAAGAAAATAATTCTTGTTTTCTAACACGAGTAAACTTCATTTGCAGNTTCTAGAAGGAGATGAAAGTTGTCTACTATGAGTTAGAAATAATATTCCATGCAAAGGAATTTGTTAGTGAATGCCATTGCCATGGCCACCAAAATTAAAAATAAAAAGTGCGATCCCGCGCAAAATGGCGCCGTCAGGTTTTTGAATGCCCGCCCCTATAGTTCCAAAATACTGGACTGTCCTGTCGATGACATTGACAGTGGGGCGCCACCGTCAATACCGGATCGCTGGTTCAGATTTTTGCCATGTTGGAAACCATATAGTTGAACGATGGTAGCGCCCCCCTGTCATTGAGTTTGGCGGGACAGTTCAGCGTGGGTCATCTATATTTTGTTGTTTGGTGTCTTGAATTGGATTACAATTTTTGTGAATGGGAATAAGCTTTAAAATAAAAACAATAAAGTTTAAATTAAATTAAATACTTCGGGCTAAATTTTAAATAGTGACTTTGAATGTAATGTAATTTTAATGAACCTTGACGGATGAGCACGTGATTATTACTGTTAATTAAATTAATACAATGGAAATGGAATCGAAAATTCCATTAAATATTTACCTTTCCACAGTTGATGTACTCGACGGCCGTTTCTCGAAAGAAGAAATAAACGAAGTTGCCGTGTACCAGGGAATTCACGAAATCAGGAGCTGGAAAATAAATATTTTCATTAATTATGTATTTTATGTTACAGGTTTTTTATAAAATTCCTGTTAATTGAACTGGCGATATTGACTTATGTATTAATAAATACAAGTGTGTTTTTCTTTTTCATGTTTAACAGCTTCAATACGCATTCACGCAATTTTTCATAAATTGAGTTTTTGTTTTGTGTAGTACTTTTTTAAGACATTAAGTTGCGTAGAAAAAGAAAATCTAATAAAAAAGTACCCGTACTTTTAATACAGAAATACACCATGTGCCTATAAAGTTCGTTAACCCCTAGAAGCCAATTACCTTCCCATTAGCAAAGCGTAACTCAATAAGCGTCAAGCTGATTACCGAATCACCGTAATCACGCAGTATATCGGTGTCGGGTCTGATAAGCAGGCTGTTTATTAATAGCACGAGCAAGTTTAGGGTTGACGTAGATGTAGTTAGTTTGATTTAGTTCTAGAAATATTTGCAATCGAAAATTGGAATGATTAGAAAATTGCGCGGCGATGGATGGGTTAATTTAGTCTTATTTTTTTTTGGAAATAAGGTGCAAGAAAAAATAGATTTATAGTGTTAAATCAAACTTAATACGAACATTGTGCTTATGTATGTTTTTAAATACAAACATTTTACAATGATTTATCAGTTTCCTGATTTTGAACGCAAATATGGAAATATTTTTCTGCAATGAATAACGATTAAGTACGAGTACAAATAAAACTTTTGCGTCTTCTTCTACCCTTCTAATCTCCTTAGCAATTTGCACAGACATACCGTAACCCTATCGCTGCCGATAGCTCTAATACGATCCTAATCCGATTCCCCAATTGTTGACGCGTCAGCCGTCACTCGTGACAGCGAGCTCCAAGCGCGTTCCAAATTCAATTAAATTGACGGATGTATGTTTGACAGCGCTCGGAACAATCGACAGTGACGGGTAAACAGCGATAGTAGTTAGGGTGGCCAGACGTTGACAGGTCCATTGTACCTGGCAAACGGAGCTAGAGACCAATTGATATCCCTATATCGGGTTCTCTTGGTGTTTGACAATTAGGTAGTGTCGGTTTCTGGTGATTAGTGTCAGTTACATGATTAGCTGCATTACGAAGTAGTTAGTAGTGGGCACGATTTAATTTCAATTGGAAATAATAGTAGTGAGTAATATATTTTGCAAGTAAAGTTTGCTTTTGTGGTATTATAGCTCCTAAATTGATGGAGAAGACTTGATGCACTGAACTTTGAGTATTTTTAAATCTTTTTAATGTAGGGTCCTAGTGACTAGATCTGTTAATATAGCTTATCAAAGTCATCTCTTAAAATAATTCAGGAATGGTCACTCTATCGGATGTGTAAATAAACATTACGTGATGTTACATTAAATGGTTTAATTATGTAGGTACATAATATGCAGATTAAGGCAGATATCAATATTGTATTGGTACCTTAATAGGATTCATGTATCGTGATTACGGTAACCAGATTCGTTATAAAATTTTGTTAGGATTATGATGTGTTACATTTATTGTTATAATGTTTGCTGTTAATTTACTTAGACCTATTTATAACTTATTGTTATTCTCCTAATACCAATACAATCAGTCAATATTTGAACGTATGCCTAAGCAAATACGGTTTTAATTTGGAAAGTTGAGTTACAAGTTTAACCCTTCAATTCAAGACTTAGTTTTACAGCTTTATCTATATCGCTTTGTTATGGTGATTTCGCACCGATGTGTCACGCTATGGGACAATGTTACGACCGCTTTCATTCAGTTCAAGCATGTGATAATGTCCAATGGCTCCATCTATATGCAAATAAACGTTGTGTTTGATTAATAACGGCCCTTTGTATATTATGTAGGACAAAGCCGCTTAGTGACCTGACACGTCATGGAATTTGCAGTATTAGAAACGATAACTGTACCTTTTTTTAATTTTCTCGTTCTATCTATACTGACATTTCCTACTACTGTACTAATCAAGTACACATCAGAATAAGTACGGTTATTACGATATTAAAAGTGACTGTGAGAAGATTAGAATATAAAACTTACCATTTAGTGTCATGGAGTCGTATGGTTCCGTTTGTAACGGCTCTCTATAAATGATGGGTTCCATGCCACTGAAGTCGGCTACTGTCCCTGAGTATAGTTCTCCATCTGAAAGAAAAACAAAAATAATCTTTAATAACATAAGATTGTCATATTTACTGAACGTCAAATTTTGCACTGTGAGCAGTGAGGGGTTAAAATTATTTTCATGTAAACTTTTTGAAAAGCGTTTCGCCGAATTAACCAATAAGTGTTCGGTAGCAGGCATGAATGAGCGTATAAGATGGCAAGAGAAGATAAAACACCACATCCTTACTGAAATTCAGGGAGAGCCCAATTTTTATCATTATTTGAACAAACTTTATACTTTGTCTAATTTTAACGAAGCCAATAAGAAAATAACTCTTGTTTTCTAACACGAGTAAACTTCATTTGCGGCAAATAAACCTTCTCTATTAGTTTGGAAGTTGATTCCAAAATTAACCATATTAAGTACTTCGCCCTTTGTAGTTCGGGTCGATAACTCAATGGGGCGATCACTAACACTGCGTAACATGCCATTGGTGTACGTGACCAGACTGCGTGCATTCGGTTGAATTAATTACCGAACTGGGCCTAATGATGGAACTGTTCAGTTCCCGGATTTAGGCTGCGCCGATGCCGCAGTGGTTAAATTTAAGGTCGTCAATTTGAGGGTGGAATACGCAACTATATGATAGAAATAGATAAAAGACAAGGCGCTTAGGTACCTACTGGCTAGGCAGGTACTCGACTCATTAGGAAAACCAGAAAAAAAAATGTTCTTGATAAGCTTACTTAAGTCTTGAGTATTGAAGAGACTCAATTTTCAATACATACTCAAATATTTTTGCTGAACATCTTACCTACACTACCTGAACATCTTATCAAGGTCGGCCACGCAATTTAGATCTGGTTAATGAACCATTCATCTACCTAGTTGTCTAACTAAATATTTTTTCATCAGTAGAAACTTCATTCTTCCTGATTGGTTGTATCTCTTTTCTCTTTTACAAAACGCGAGCAAAAGCTTGATAGGAATTTTGACGCTTTAATAACTAGGTATACTTTCTTTATAGACCTTAAAAAATTGCCACCAAGTTACATAGCTTTGTTCCGTCTAATTAACTTCACACGTGCAACGATAATTAACCAGGCTGCATTAGTGAACGGCCGGTGTATGAGCCACGGTCGGTCCCCAGGCGGCACTTAATTGGGCCAGATCAATAGGAGATAACTAACCGTAGCCGCCGCAGTAAGAGCTTGCACATAATATGGGTAAAATGGGTATACCTCAGATAACTGGGAAGTGGTTTACTTACACTACATTGCAAAGTCGGCAAGATATTAAACAAATGAAACGTTTCATGAAAGAGAAGGCGTTTCACGTAACCAGTGCCAGTTAATATGACAGTTTGGTAATTTGTGTGATACAAAATATTAAGAACTGGCTGAAGATCATTGATTAGACATGCTCTACCACGTCATAATAAAAGCTAGTTGGCACTCTAATTAACATGTTTTTTTTTTTCTATTTTCCGTTTTTTGACTGCAGCAGTGCCCACTTTTCAGGGCCTAGTCCCGTTAACCCCTCGTGGTAAGCTAAATATGCTTATGCCGCGTTTCTGGGCTAAATCTGACCCGACATCGACACTTGGGCTATTATAAGATTTTTAACTTTTGCGTTCCATTACAACTAAAATAGTAAGACACGGGTCTTAACGCGATGTTTATTAATGAGTTACATTATGTACTCACGGCTTGACGTTTCATCTGCGATGCTGCAGCCGTGGTCACAAGCAAACTTAAGGTCTGGTAAAGACCCGTGTCTTACTATTTTACATGGGCAATTGTCGCTTAATAGCATATAGTCACACATATGGTACATACTAATAATGGCAATATGAGTAGCAATTAAGCATATCACTATTTAGTGAATGGTCAGGTTAAGCTGCCGGCACTGCCGCGCCCCCAGGCGACACTTAATTGGGCCAGATCAATAGGAGATAACTAACCGTGTCCGCCCGCAGTACTCGCCACTATCCGGTAATGGATTTTGTTTGAGTTTAATGGTCAACGGTGATGTCATATTCTATATTTAAATTGATTAAGTTTTTATTTTAATTATTTTTTCTTTCCTGCCAGGAAATTGTAAAGAAATCGCTTGTAAGTGTGAGTTACTAAAATTGACTATTGTTAGCTAGATTGACATCTTTCTGTATCTGGTTCTTTTGTAAAATAATTATGCGGGGAGTGGGCCCGGACCTGAAGGCCTGAAATACAGGGTGGCCCTAGTTTAGACTCCAGTTCACGCACTCATTACTTTGATGTACCAGAATGAGTGTCTGATAAAATAAACAATTATTTATTTATTATTATTTATTTATGTTGGTCTCGGTACCTATTCATTTTCCTATTTAAAGGCAGCTGTTAGTTTCCTTATGATTATAAAGTACCTATCATCCCACCAAAAACATTTTCATGTAAGATTTTGCCAAGATCAAGCTCGTACTGTCATTGTCAAAAAGATATTGAACTCATGGAGAGCCAAGCTTCTAATTCTACAAAGCCTACTAATTCTAAACCTCGAAATATGTGTCTGTTTCTAAAATACATTGAAACCAATAATCTACTTTGGTAAAACTTAACATAGTGTTAATATTTCATTAGCACCACGTTTTATCTTATGTGAAAAGCATTAAAGACTTCCCTTCGGAGATCCATAGTGAATCCTCTACGCACGTGATAAATGAAGGGAACGCAAGGGCCGATGCGTTAATGCAAAGAAAATTGCACAAAGGGCTCGGTGACGGTAATTGATGCACTGGACCAGTGGTGGGGTGTAGTCGATAGTTTGCGTACCGAATTATCGATATTTTTAATAGTTGTAGAGTAAAAAAATTTAAAAAATATGTTACGAGTAGTTCTTATGTCTGAACCTTACCTAATAGGAATGGAACATTTCGTATTTGACAAAATATTTATTTACTACTTCCAGGACGTACGAACATGATCAAATCAAATCAAATCAAATAAGTTTATTTGCAGAACAAAATGTCATGATAATACAGGTATACAGTATCTAAGTCAGTTCCAATTATGTTCTACCGGGATTGTACCGGTGTGCAAATGTAATACAATAATAATTGACTGATTAAATTAATTAAGAATATAAAAATTACTACAATTATGATCACAATGTCAAATTTTAATATCTACTCAAATAATAAATGTCAAATAATGGCTAATTATCATTAAAATACTCGTCAACACTGTAATAATATTTGTCAAGAAGCCATTTATTTATGTTATTTTTGAAAACCCTAAGAGGCAAATCTTTAAAATTATTAGGCAGTTTATTGAATATTTTGATCGCCATTAAAGGAGCGTTGCTTGCATAAAAATGTGAGTTGCATTTCGGGTAAAATAATCTATTTTTATGCCTTGTGTGCCTCTCTAGAGATTCAGCATGAGTATTAAAATAGCTGGGATATCGTTTTACAAAAGTACAAATTTCTCGGACATACATACACGGTAAAGGTAATACACGTATTCTTTGAAACAAGGGCTTACAACTCTCCAGGATGAGTAGGTAAACATCACATCAGAAAAGTACCTAATGCATTGCTTGCTGTAATCTTGGGTTATACATTTTACTAAACATTTTTATTTAAAATAAATGTAAATGTATCATATTATAGTAAATGTGTTTTGTTATATTCTGAAACCCAGCTAGATTTTTAAGCCTTCTAGATTTTATGTTATCGTCATTATCGATATTAAAGTTACAACACTAACTGACACTGTATTTGGGGACGCTCTCGAGGCTTGAAGATAGAGGTTTTTCGTAATATGGATCCATTAGGTGGATGCAATTTACTTAATGATACTCAAATATTTAACGGCGTTCGAATGAGCTGTGCTTAGCCCTGCTTTGTTTAGACAATTTGTTTCTGAAACGTTTTTTTTGCACAAATGTTACGGGTGCAGTAGGAAAATGTTGTATCAACTATATCTTTATACATTTTGTTGTAACATTCTGTTCCTGGCAAGGAAATGTTAGATATTGCGACGTGTCTTTCTTCGTGATTTAAAATGACTAAAATATTTTTTTTCCTAGTTAAAATTAGTTTTGTTCTATCATTTCAGTCACAAGATTTCCACTGCTGAATCTCCCCTAATGAAGTTCAAGATATTTTTTTTTTAGAATTCAAAAATACCAGCCAGTGATTTTCATTTGTAACCCTGCAATATGCAATTGTTTAGATTTTTTTTTATAGATACAGTAATTTAATCTGAGCAGCGTAGACACTGGTTAAACTAAGTTCAATTTTCAGCCAGCAATTTGCTAGTGCATCGCTCGACGAAATCGTTAGGGCACCACCAAATTAGCTCTCAATGCCGCGTGCGTTGACAGAAGACGCCAATTATAGTCGCAGTTACCCTAACAGGCTGCGTAGAGTCGATTTAAGGGTTCATTTTTAATTAAAACTAGAATTTATTTATTAGAACTTTGGGTCTGGATTTAAATTTAAAGTTATATATGTATATACTCGTAATATTTATTGAATTCGAACGTCAAATGCTTATTATACTCGTAAAGTACGATATTTTACTCGAAAAAACTCAGAAAAGTAGAGCGCGAAGCCGAAAAGTTTTAGATTAGAAGAAGCGTTTGAAAAACAAATATTTTTTTTTACATGTAAGAACATGATTATGCCCTATTTGGTATAACTTTAGCATTAAAAGTATTTGTTTTCTTATTAGTGCATATTCTCCACACATGTTAAAAGGTTGAAAGACAATTTTTCTCTTTTCCCTTTGCTTTGATGGAAACGCACCCTTAAACGTCAAATTAACCCCTCACGGTTGCACCGAGCTTGACAAAAGGTGCCAATTATTGGCGCAGCCATCCCAGCTGGGCCCGCATCTAATCCTGATATGGAATTTTGGTTCTAATTTTAGGGACGTTACTATAGTGTCATGCCAGGTACCATTTTGGATACAGGTCTAATGGAAATTGCGTTTTCCATGTTAAGCTCAAAGACCGAAAACGCTCAGTGAGTGAAAAAACAGTTCACATCACACGT